AGATATTAAAAAGCAGATAGTTCTATTCTTAAACACAGCTGGGTGCCTAAGGATTAAACAAAACGAAATGGTTCCCTTGACCCTGTAGTGTTATCCGAGGGTTTACTATAATATCGCCTGGCATTCGTCTCCAAGGGACGAGTTTGTGCCATTTTCAGAATTTGCTGGAACACACCCTTTTCTCCCTGAGCATCTCATAGGATTGATCCTACACAAGATACTCAGTTCCTATGCTTCCCGATGTGGCAGAAATTCTAGACGAACCAGTTCCTGGGAAGAAGTCTCTCCAGTTACAGAATCTTTGTGTCCCTGCTGAAAATACCACTATAGCTGTCTAGAGTCAGTCTTACCCTACCACCTAGAGGCCTCATAGAACTAATAGAAGCCGAGGTTAACCACGAAGAACTAATCTTGGGCAAAGTCTACTTCCTTCTTCCTATTCTCCATCCACAGAATGATTTGTATTCATGATTCACCCACTTCTTTTCCACATAACGCTACAGCTACTCCTCCTTCCCCACCTCTAGCCGCTGTCCACCTGACTATTCAAATCCCCACAGAAAGAAGAAACTGAGGTACAGCTCACCGCCCCCCCCCAAGCTGCCTATTCACACGCATGCCCCTACCCGACTCAACGGAGGTCAGCAGTTACTGAAGGTTCAAGGAGTTCTGTCCTCCCCACCCCCCACACCCAGTAGTGCTCCCTAAAGTCGCTTTTCAGTTTGGGATTAATACAGTGCAACGAGAAAGTTGGCTGCTGTTAGTCCTGGGGGTGAAAGCTGCCATCACTACATAAAATCTCGGGAGTGAAGGCTTCAGTAAGCAAAGCAGGCTAATGAGTCCCGGCCCTCTGGTAAGAAGCAGCGGAAACGAGCTGCTGGGGAAAGCCAGTGTCCCACATAAATCCACGTGTTAGCGGGCCTGCCTGCTGGAGCAGCAGAGGCATGCAGGGAGAAGGCGGCGAGGCAGGGCCAGGACAGAGCATGGAGCTGGGAACAGTCCACAGAGACCCCCTAAACCCGCCCCTTCGTTTTGCACAGGGCGAGACAGAGGTCCGGAGAAGTAAACCTGCTGGTCCAAGGCCACCGCAGACGTTAGTGCTGAGCTAGGAGCTAGAGCTCTGGGTCAATCTTCCCAAAGCAAAACCCGGGGCAGCTCAGCCAAGCTATTTTGAATAAAAGCCTCTCTCTGGGTCTTGCAGACATGAACGTGTGCCTCTGAAATTTGGGGAGGGGAGCCGGTGATATCAGCAATGGAGCGAAAATTGGAAGGTGGAGACTATGTTTAATCTCTGCGCCTCTGTATCATCCTCTCTAAAGGCAGGGGGTGCACGGCACTGAAATGGAGAAATGATGCTAACGTTCTTACGAGGAAATTGGAGGGATAATCTGTATTCCAGATTTTCCCATCGCGACTGATAACTAAACCTGATTTAACACTTTAATTAGAGGGACTCGTTGTTGGAACACAGAACAGAGAGGAGCGGAGGAAGAATAAGAACTCTGAGCTCTGTTCCTTCCTGGTCTAACTAAACAGAACACCGATCCTTTCAACACTCGAGGACTTGTCGAGCCCCCTCCTGGGCAGCAAAGACTCTCACCCAAAGAGGGAAGAGCACTTATTTGGTGGTCTTTACATTTAATATAATTCTCCTTTAGCCATGCAGTGCATGGGGAAGACAGCACCATGGGTAGACAGCCCAAACCCTAGCTAATGGGAAAGTTCCGTGGGGTCCCAAGGAGTCCCTCAGATTCCAGCATTCTGGAAACCTTGCCCTGGCTTCTGGCAGCTCTCCAAGCCCAGACACACAGGCTCTGCACACCGTGTTCCATGAGCAGGCCATGTGTGAAGGGTGCTCCAGAGCCAGGGGAAGTGATAGCTCACAGGGAAGGAGTGCTCCAGGAGACTCCTTCTCAACGTCAGTTCTTATTTCCTGTCCTCCTGCAGGGCTGCCATTCAGATGATCTTCTCATCTCCGGCTTTTGGAAAAATACAGCCAGAAAAAAAAAAAAATGCTTCCTGCCAATCCGGCGTCCTCTCCACTCAGTTCCCAGCCCGCGTGGAACGTGAGACACATAATGTCACTCTGAGAAAGCCCCACCCCTCAGGACCTCGCACGCTCTGCTTGTTTGCCCAGGGGAGAGCAAGGGCATCTTTATCTAGTGTGCCTTCTAGCTCTGTGCCTTAGGGACTCTAGGATCTAAGATTTGATGGCAAAACAAAATGGGACAGACCAACATTCCCCAGAGTACTTCGTCAACCAAAATCCATGCACGCTCTCAAACACATCAAACAGTTCCTCTGTGAGTATCTTTTCTTAACCCAGCAAATGCGACTCTGCAAAGCTGTTGGACAAAGGCCTCTGATGAAGAGCCACCAATCATGTTATGGCACTTTGCCCCCCGTGTCCCCGCTCCAGAACAAGTCTCCCCTTGACCTCTCTGACAAGCTGCCAAATGCTTCTTTGTCAAGATTGTCCAAGAAAGGGAAGGACTGGGAAGGTGGGACAAACTGGGAGGATGCTAGAAGACCGTACAGACTGGGCAGAGGCTCGGCTGCCTCAACCCTTTTCTGGTGAGCAGGGACAGGCGATCTAAACCTTCATCCTTCCTCTCTGACACCTCCAGATTCCCCTTGGCCCACCTGAGCTTTCTCGGGCTCTATTCCCCCCAGAAACTGGCAGACCATCCTCTCTCAACCAAACCCTCATCAGCCACCCCTGGGCCTTATTTGTGCAATGGGGAAAGGAAACTGGCCCAGCAGGAAAGGGCATGATGTCTCTCCTTTTCTGCAAGACTCGAGATCCAAGTCCCCAGCCCACCCTAGGCAAGGAAACTAAGACAAGAGAGACTCATGGGGCGCCTGGGTGGCTCAGTCTGTTAAGCGACCAACTCTTGATTTCGGCTCAGGTCATGATCTCATGGTTTATGAGTCTGAGCCCCACATCAGGCTCCGTGCTGACAGTGCAGAGCCTGCTTGGGATTTTCTCTCTTGCCTCTCTCTCTGCCCCTCCCCAACTCATCCTCCCTCTCTCTCTCTCTCTCTCTCCCTCTCTCTCCCTTTCTCTCTCTCAATAAATAAATAAACTTTGAAGAGACTCAGATGTGGGGTTCTGATCCAGCCCCCAAGGTTAAGATACCTCTTCCTCAGAGAGAAGTCTGCTCTGCATGTACTGAGGCAGAGTGGTGACCCAGGGAGAGAAAATCCTAAACTGTACAACAGGTTCTCAACATAGTTCCTGGAAGCCTTCTAGAACATACCGCGAATTCCTCTTGGGTAATGTCACGAAAGAGCCAAGTTGTCACGGACTGCACACACCTCAGGTGCAATTCATCATCCCTTGGACCCAAGAGGCTGCATGGTGGGGCCATGCCCTCTGAGGGTCTGGACACCTCTGGCTGATTCCAACAGAGATACTCGGCCCCCGAGCCCCTCCCAGGATTGATCATCTACTCAGGCTTATTTCCAAGAGGAAAAATCACAAACCAGAGTTTCTTAGGGCTGAAGACAATCAAGAAACTGCCTCGATTCTCTCTTAGGGCCCCCAACAAGAGCCATGACTAAAAGATCCCCAGGAAGTCGACTTATAGTTCTTTTGAAATGCCGAAGAGATTGGTAACTCAGGCTTATTAACCTTGGGGAAAAGTCTCCAAAATGTCTACACAAAACCCCTCTACTTCTACTGCCACCAAAACCCACTTTCTCATATCCTCCAAAGCCTTCCTTGGCTCCCTAGTGCCCAGAGAAATTAATTCTAAACTCCTGGCACTCTACTGAAAGCCCTCTGTGACCTGTACCCAGTCTACAATCCTAAACTGAGTTCTCACTGAGCCTATTCATGCACTCCGTGCCCGAGCTGAGCCACGCCAGTCTGGTCATTAGTCCCCAAGCACACTCTGTAGTTGGACCCATGCCGTTCTTCTCCTCACGGGCTACACCAGCAGCAACACCACCACTACCTATCAGCTCTTCTCCTTTCTAAGCAGTCAGCTCAATTGCCGTGTTCCATAAAGCATTCCGAATTCACAACCCCCACTTTGTATTTCCATGGAGGAAACACCAGCTTAGAGAGCAAGTCAGGGCAGAGGCTCATTCAGCAATTCCTTCATGAACATCTACTGAGCCTCTAAAGGGTGCCAACCCCCCAGCACTTTGCTGAGAACTGCCACTCTACAAAATTAAGACACAGTTGCATCTTGGGGGGCTCACAGTCTGACAGGACAGTAAAATTCAAGAACAGAAATGCAGTACAACATAATGATCGCCCTAGGGGACATGCAAAGATCGTGCTGGGGTGGAAGGGACAATGGGACAGATGATGCACTTGCTCAACAAATAAATTAATTCAGACCCAAGTGCCACCGAAGAAATATCAGCGACCACAAGAAAGGGCCTTGGGAATTATGTGTGGAAGGAGCCACACTAGTTAGAGACAAACCCAACAGAAATAGTGACTCTGCCCTGTCAGGAGGTCTTGGGGTGCTCACAGCATCTCCGTTAACAAAGCCTCCTCAGATGAAATCAGACTGGGGCTGACTCGGGGTGTAGGGGAAAAATCATAATGTAAATTAAGAACCTCCTTCCCCAAGTTCAACTCCACTCAATTACATTCTGCAAACATTTCTGGGGCCCTATTAGGAAGCCTTGTGAAGTCATTCCTGCATAAAACTAAGCTCAAACCTTGAAGATAGTCTTTAATGCCAGAAAGCCATAGTTATTCCCATGCAGGCTAGGAATCTTGTTCCTAGAAACTTCTTTAGCCCACTACACATGCCTTTTTGATTCTCAATTCCCCTCCACAAAACTGTCAACTCTGAGAAGGAAGGGACTGCACTGGCCGGATTCATTGCCTTCAGATTTTTAGCCCTGGAACTTCAGGTTTAAAGGAAATCTTACTTGGAAGCACCAGTGAGTGAAATGGAGCAAAGCGAGCTTTTTAAGAGGGCCAGAGCCTGTACCAATGTCCTGTGGCTGCTAGAACAAATCACCCACAAACTTAGTAGCTTGAAACAATGCAGATTTATTATTTTACAGCTCCCAAAGGTAGAAGGCCAACACAGGTCTCCCCGGGCTAAGATCAAGGTGTCAAGAGGGCCGTGCTGCTTCCCGGAGGCTCTAGGGGAGAATCTTTTTCCTTGCCTTTTCCAGCTTCTACAGGCTATGCATGTGGCCCCCTTTCTCCATCTGCTGGCGCACCTCATGCTGCATCCGTTCCCTTCAAGGCAGGCTTCCCGGGAGTGTAGGGAGTTAAGGGCAGAAGAATCTGGATGGGACAGGAATGGAGATCTGTGATGGAATGACACCCTCAGAGAATAAAGGTCAATGGGAGAGAGCACATTTCAGAGAGGACCTCTTCACCCCTAATATTACTTTCTTGTTACACCCAGGCTGTTTGAAGACAGGATCTGTATTGTATTCATTTCTGGCTTCTTTTTTTTTTCCTCTGGTCATACCTGTTTCGGGGCAAGCAGGCCAGAGTTATCACAGATCCACAGCTTTGGGAGCAGCCCTCAACCAACGACAGACAGGAGTTAATGGATAAATATGCCAGCTTCTTTGCCCTTCTCTGTTCTCAGTGGGACAGTTTGAAGTCATGGTCTACACAGTCACCCAGGTGGACACATCCCCCATGAAATTGATCGGGCCCAGTTGCCTACACCAGGAACCTACTGACTAACACGACTAGGGTGACAAACCTCTCCCAGTTTTCCTGAGACGTTCCCTGTTTAGCACTGGAAGTGCCATGTCCCAGGGAACCCCTCAGTTTTTGGCAAACAAGATGGTTGGTCATGTGAGCCAACCTCCTCACTAACCCAGCTTTCTTCCTTCCCTTCCCCACTTCGTTTTCACGCTCCCTCCCCAGTGCTTCCTGATATTGCCTCCCAAATAAAGGACTTGTGTCCAAATCCTTCTCTCAGGCTCTGCTTCTGAGAACAGCCAAGCTAAGCCAAGGCTCACGGTTCAGTCTGCGTCTAACTGGCAGGGCTAATGCATCATGACCACACATGTCATGCGCCCCAAAACCCCCAGGGGGCGCCATTCACGTTGACTACGATGAGAACCATCGCCGGGCAGATACGCTGCTGGCCTTACAACAACAGATACCCTGGCTGGGCCCCCTGTCAGGTTGTTCTAGGATGAAATTCTCTTTTCCCCACCTCCCACCACGTGGGAAAGAAAAGGCACCACATTACCAGAGAAAATCTTCCCATAAAGACGGAGCAGTTTTAATCCTCCCCTGCCCTTAGCCTCTTCGCCCCAGCCCTGCCCTGCCCTTTTCCAGATGTTCCCGTTTAGTCATGGTGGGAGCCGAGCAGCGGATGAACAGCATGACTGGGCCTGAACACCCTTCACCGTCGATTGAGCTGTGGCAGCTGGGCTTGCCCCCAGACGGGGAGGGCTCCGTGCAGACGGTGATTATGCATGGGAAACAGAGAGCCCTGGGGACCGACAGCCACGGCCGGTGCCTCTGCGATTCCCACTCAGCTTCGATTAGCAGCCCTGACGATGAGGAAGGGCTCTCTGAGCTCTGACATGCCTCCCGCAGACACCAGTGTGGCCTCACCTGGGGAGACAGCCCGCCCCCAGGGACGGAAGACTGCTCTAGCAGTGGACATCTGGACAGCCCTAATGAGGCCAGCCCGGGATGGGAGCTCAGCTAATTGCTCCGATAGGCCGTGATGTCTGGATTCCAGCTGCCACGTCTGGCGGCCCCGTTTGGACGTCTTGAGTTTACTGTGAGGTTGGGACTGAGAGACCCTTAGGAATGGGGGATGTCAGCCGGGGCTCATGCTGAAGCAATTAAGGGGACATTTGTTGCAGGTGAAGAATGGTGGGGTAGTAAAATAACAATATCACAGCTTGCTGACATCTTACCAGGAAATCTGTAGGCCCCGGCCAAGATGGACCATTCCAGAAACACAGGGCGTATGGTGTGTGATTAAAGAGGGAGGGAGGGGAGACTGGGAAATGTGCTGGGTCCTGAACTGGGACCCTGGGTCCTCCAGATGCAGATTGGCCACGCATCCCCCGTCCAGACCAGATTACCCTAACGCTCATGAAGGTTAAGCTCAGGCCCTCACTTACACAGGCCAGTTTCAAGGTCCTGGAAAGAATCCCAGAGATGGTTCACGTGGTAGACTTTTCTTTTTTTTGAACAAAATTTGCAAAAGAAGGGTGTATGAACCATCATCAGTTAAGACCACTGTCTCTTTCCTTTCTGACTTCGTTGCAGTCACACATCCTCTGATATCAGGTGGTGTTGGTATTAGGAGGATTTAGCTAAAAGAGAATTGAATTTAGGGTACATTTAGTTTGGGGGTTAGTGGGATATTTTTGTGGTTCATAGTGTCTCCTGTCCTGCTGTAAGAATGGCTTCCAGAAACCCTCTTATTCACCCAGTGTCATGGCATAAAGGTGCCAGGCCAGAGGGCCTATGATGATATAAACGCATCCTATGGCACTAGAATTAGAAGTATCTGCACAATGTTGAAGAATTAAGGTTTGAAATATAAGGAGCCAGAAGCTAGGCTATGAAAAATGATTCTGTCATCAGAAGCATAGAATTGTAAGTGCAGGATCCAGTTCCCATCAGTCCCTAGGCAAAATGGAAGTACTCTCTTACCTGGAGTACACTTGGTAACTCTATGTTTACAACTCTAAAAATCTTCAGGGGTGCCTGGGTGGCTCAATCAGTTGAGCGACTCACTCTTGATTTCAGCTTAGGTCATGAAATCTCACGATCCGTGGGATAGAGCCCCACGTCAGGCTTGGGATTCTCTCTCCCTCTCTCTTTGCCCCTCCCCTCTCCAAATAAATAAACATTTAAAAAAAAAACAACTATAAACATCTTATACAATAAAATTAGTTTTCATAGATTTCTATAAGAAATCAAGAGATTAGCCTGACATCCACAACTGAATTATAACAAAGGTTTTTGATTATTTCCAAAGCAGCCATTCATTAACAGAGATACATTTTAAATAAGGAGTAATGAATAGGCTCTTTTATGGTTAGGTAGTTCAATTTTAAAAGAGAAGAAAATTATATGGACATATTAGAAAAAAGAGTCTCATTTCTTGCTGATTACCTTGGCATTAAAAAATAACAAAACTCATAAGATGCTACTACAAAAACACCATGAAAGGCAAATTGGTCAATGAGTGCAATCAGTTCAAGAGGCATTTAAAATTAGTCACTGCTCGGGGCGCCTGGGTGGCGCAGTCGGTTAAGCGTCCGACTTCAGCCAGGTCACGATCTCGCGGTCCGTGAGTTCGAGCCCCGCGTCGGGCTCTGGGCTGATGGCTCAGAGCCTGGACCCTGTTTCTGATTCTGTGTCTCCCTCTCTCTATGCCCCTCCCCCGTTCATGCTCTGTCTCTCTCTGTCCCAAAAAAATAAATAAACGTTAAAAAAAAAAATTAGTCACTGCTCAAGAAAGCTTGACCAATACCAACAAAACAACATGATTGAAAAATGGGCAAAGACTTGAATAGACATTTCTCCAAAAAAAGATAATACAGATGGCCAATAAGCACATGAAAAGAGGCTCAACTTTGCTCATCATGACGGAAAAAACAAATGTAAACCACACTGAGATACCACCTCATACCCATAGGATGGCTACTCTCAGATAGATGATAGACAGATGATTGATAGATAGATAGATAGATAGATAACAAGCATCAGCAAGGATGTGGAAAAATTGGAACCCTCGTGTACCATTGGTGGAAATAGGTGCTATGAAAAATTTCAAGTTATAAATGGTGGTTCTTCAAAAAATTTAAAATAAATTAACATAGTATCTAGTGATTCATAGCAGCATCATTCACAATAGCCAATGGGTAGAGGCAACCCAACTGTCCATCAGTGGGTGAATGGGTAAAAAACGTGTGCTATATACATACGATGGAATATTATTCAGCCTTAAAGAGGGAAGAAATTCTGACACCTGCTACAACATGGATGAACCTTGAGAACATTAGGCTAAGTGAAATAAGCCAGTAACAGAAAGACAAATACTATATGATTTCACGTAGATGAGGTACAGAGTAGAGTCAGATTCACAGAGATGGAAAGTAGAATAATGGTTACCTGGGGCTGGGGGTGGCCGGGGAAGGAGCGTTGTTATTTAACGGATATAGAGTTTCAGTTTTGCAAGCCGAAATAAGTTCTGAAATCAGTTGCACAATAAGGTCATTGCATGTAACACTCTTGAGCGGTACACTTAAAAAACAGTTTAAGATGGTAAATTTTATGTTATCTGTGTTTTACCACAAATAGAATTTTTTAATCTCAACAAAGAAAGAAAACTTGAAATACCTTAAATCTTACAGCTCATATATGAGAGAAAAGTGATTGAGATCTTCCCAAATTTAGGATTTGAAAACCCTAAAACTTACACGGCATCACCAACAGCAAGTTATCAAACTGACAGAAAATGTACAAATGACCAATAAGAAAGAAGTTAATTGTAATCAATGTAAAAAAAAAAAAAGACTACATTATCTTTGTTAAATTATTTTCTTTTTTTTTAATTTTTTTAATGTTTTATTTATTTTTGAGACAGAGAGAGACAGAGCATGAACAGGGGAGGGGCAGAGAGAGAGAGGGAGACACAGAATCCGAAACAGGCTCCAGGCTCTGAGCCGTCAGCACAGAGCCCGACGCGGGGCTCGAATCCACGGACCGCGAGATCATGACCTGAGCCGAAGTCGGACGCTCAACCGACTGAGCCACCCAGGTGCCCCAAATTGTTATTTTCTGGATACTGCGGCACTCATGGTATTTTATAAACATTTTTGGATGTGTAATGTGTTGTGATTTCTTTTCTTATTCCAACTAAATGTTCACTTGTGTATGGAATTTTGTATTATTTTTCTTAAAGAGGGTCCCCCAATCTGTACAAGCATAGAACCTGGCTATGCCCTTTCTTATGCCCGTCCCCCAACACAGCAATGATCTCAGGAAACTTGAGCTTTGGTCCATATTTCTACCTCCTAGAAATGAGGCCAGAGGAACTCCATGGCTCTGTCATTTGCCTGTATGGTCTTGAGTCTGTCCAGTCACAACTTGAGTCTTAGTTCTCTATCTTAATATGGGGGGGAGATTCCTTGGCATTCCCTACTTTCCAAAAGTAAGACTAGGATCCACAAGAAATTACCATTAAACCAAAATCACCCTAGAGATACAGTCACAAAAGAAAGAATAAGCCACCAGTATTTCTTGAATGGTATACCTCATTTATCTGAATTTCCCCAAGGTGCCTTGTCCCACTGGATCCCTCCCACCTATGTTTGGGAGTAAGGATTGGCATGGGATGACAAAGGCCACAGGACAATAACTGAATACAAAGAAAATGTGGGGGCACCTTAACCTCAGTCAGTTAAGCGTGCAACTCTTGATGTCATCTCAGTTCATGTTTTCACAGCTCGTGAGTTCAAGCCCCACATCAGGTTCTGCACTGGCGGCGGGGAGCCTTCTTGGGATCTTGGGATTCTCTCTCTCTCTCTCATCCCTCTGCCGCTCCTCTGCTCACACTCTCTCTCTATCTCAAAATAAATAAATAAGATTTAAAAAAAAAGAAAATGTGGAGGGAGCACAAGCTTACTTGGATCTGTTGAACAAGGAGATGCCCATTTGTTTGTTTGTTTGTTTTTATTTTTTATTTTATTTTTAACGTTTATTTATTTTTGAGGCAGGGAGAGACAGAGCACGAACGGGGGGAGGGTCAGAGAGAGAGGGAGACACAGAATCCGAAACAGGCTCCAGGCTCTGAGCTGTCAGCACAGAGCCTGATGCGGGGCTCGAACTCACGAACCATGAGATCGTGACCTGAGCCGAAGTCGGATGCTTAACCGACTGAGCCACCCAGGGGCCCCAGGAGATGCCCATTTGGGATATAATAGACAAGGGAGACACCTGGGGGAACTTGATGGCCTACTGGTCTGGAGAAGGATTGAAAGAAAATCTAATTAAGAGTAATTAAGCTGAAACACCTCTCCAAGGTCTTTCTTCTTGGTAAATCAAAGCAATAGAATATGGACCCAGTAAATGATTTCAGAGTTCGAGTATAATATAAGTCAATGACCTTCAGGATAAAAGGAAAAAGTAGAGTGAAATTCATTCCTTCAAGACTGTTAGATTGGATACAGGGGAAAAGAACAAAAGTTGAATCAAGAATGATTCCTAGATAGGGGCGCCTGGGTGGCGCAGTCGGTTAAGCGTCCGACTTCAGCCAGGTCACGATCTCGCGGTCTGTGAGTTCGAGCCCCGCGTCAGGCTCTGGGCTGATGGCTCAGAGCCTGGAGCCTGTTTCCGATTCTGTGTCTCCCTCTCTCTCTGCCCCTCCCCCGTTCATGCTCTGTCTCTCTCTGTCCCAAAAATAAATAAACGTTGAAAAAAAAATTTAAAAAAAAAAAAAAGAATGATTCCTAGATTTCAGGCTCAGGCAACTAGATGGAAGGAAATGCTATTTATTGAGATAAAGAAGGCTGAGGGAGAAACAGGGTGGAGAGGACATCGAATTCCTTCTCATACAAGTTAAAGTTGAGAAATGTCTAAGACATTCAGATAGAGATGCCAAGTAGGTTGTTGGTTATCTAAATCTGGACCTCAGAGAAAATGTCTGGCTTCAGATTGTAATTGGGGAGTTAGCAGATTAATGGTAGTATTATTTAAATCCATGAGAATGGATAAGATCATCTGAGAGAGGACAAAGGAGGGGAGTGAGGGGAGGAGAACCCAGGATGGAAGAACCCAAGCATTTAGATGGCAAGCGAAGAAGCCAACAAGTCGGAAGTGGCCGGAGAGGCAGGAGAAGAACCAGGAGAGAGAGCATCATCTTAGAATCTAGAAGAAAACGACTTCACAGGATGAAAGTGCTCCACTGTGCCAAATGCTGCTGAGATACAAATCTAGCACAAATCTAATTTACTGCCTTCATGTTATCAGATGACCTATGTGAATACCGTCCAACAATACTGTCCGACCTCCTGGGAGAGGTCAAAGGAAGTTCTCCCCGTATCAGCAGGGAAGTCGGTCAGGAAAGTTTTTCTGACTCCAACTGAAGAGGAAGTCACAGAGCTGTCCAGAGAGTGGACGGGCACTAACACGTTTATCCCCGGGGCAGACAAGAGACCAGTGGAGTTGTAGCAAATATAGATCTGCCCTAGAGTGGCTCCTAGTGTCCGTGCAAATGGCCAGGAAACTACACGGGGGGAATCGGACATCCATCATCCGCTGCTCTCAAGCAGAGAAGGTCCATTCTGA